GAGGACTCAGTATGCATGGGATTCCCCAAGATGATTCCCCAAGATGCATGGGATTATTGTAGATCACAAACATGTACTAAAAGAAGCAAAACATTTAAAAAGAGAAAGCAGCTATAGATATAATGTAAAAAAAAACCATAATAGCTGTGCTCCAGTAAATCAGGATTTGCAAAAATAAGAGTGAGGATGGGGGATATAACTCAGTGGGCATAAATGCCCACCTGGCAAGCACAAGGCCCTGAGTTCAAGTCCTGATTTTTTAAGTCCATCTTTCCTTTCTTCCTTCCTTCAGTTTTCCCTCTCTCCCTTCTCTTCTTTCTTCTTTCCTTCCTGCTTTGGTTCTTGCATTCTTTTCATCCCTAGTATCTATTACAGTGCCTGAACTAATGAGAGAAAAGCATAAAATGCCCTTTCTGGAGTTCTGTCTTGTCAGGTTCTCACAACTGCAGCTTACTGCACAAGTAGCCAAGGTGAAGCAGAAAGAGCTAAAGCTCATCAATTCTGTCTTTTGGGTAAATATTAATATTTACCTTGCTTATAATTCCCAGTGGAACTGGCAAACCAGGGGATGGAGAGAGGGGTTGTAAGAAGAATCAAGATGTACCTGTACCAGCTCCCTGAGCTGCAAATATGTGCTAACAAAAATTTTTAAAAGATCATGTCTTCCACAAATAGGAAAAAACCTCCCATATCTGGTATTTGCGGTGCACAGACTCACTGTTCAACCGTGAAACTACTCTCCCATGCCAGGATGAATTTTCCAGCTGCCCCTGATCCCTGGACCAGGGCTGGGGGCTGGTGAGTATCTTAAGAAGGTTAATGAGGTGCAAGCAACTGAACAGAAGTCAGTGTCTGTAAAAGGCAGCTGTCCAATTAGTGAAGCCAACCGGCAGGAACACGCAATGACTGGCAGCAGCAACTAAGTCTGCCCCAGTTCACCAGCATAAAAAAGATAATACCCCCTGCAGACAGGAGGACAGAAGCCATGGCTCCCTGGCTTGTCACCACACACAGAGGACTGCTCTGAGAGCTCCTTAATGTACATCCTAGTGAGTGTTCAACTCTGTCAATGAGATACATTTTAATTAGGAAATATTCTGGGGAAAGCCATGGAAAGATTTTATTTTAGTTTAGTTTAGTTTAATTACTTTTTGGCCAGGAGCCCCCATGTATTGCTGATGTAAAATAAAACTAGTCCCATCCTTTCCCACTCATGCCAGTCTGAGGCAGAATTGTGTCTCTTCACTCATTCTTCTGTTCCTTACTCCAAATTATATCTCAGATGCTGAGAAGAAAGACATTGCATCAAAATGACTGGCCCAGAATCCATAGCCAGAGCAATAGGAATAACAAAACAAATGAGAGATTTGAGTAACAAAAAGAAAGAGGCATATCTGGTGACCAGAAGCTCATCTGCATATGAATGTCAGATCACCTGAAAAGATAAGACCTCACAAAATCATGTGGCTCTGCCATTTTTCTGTAGAAAGTGAATTTCCTAGAACAGAAGTTACAGCCTAGGCTAAGTCTGGCTGGTGAAGAGAACTAGATCAGCTGGCCTTGAGAGTCTGTTACCCGTCTTGGGCACCCTGCCTTGGAATACAATGTCCTCATCTGTCCCCACACCTTGGACAGGAACTATGCTCCCCAAGATTTACAGTGAGGAAACTGCTCAAGAGTTTGCAGGCATGTGGCATTTCCCAGAAAGCTTTTAAATAATGGACAGGCACCAAGATGTGGGCTCTGAGTAGAAAGAGAGGGAAGTCAACATCCCAACACATAGGGGGGTCCCAGGCACCAGCTTGTTGCTGTTTTCAGATCTTGATAGCTACAGGCACAGCTGTGAGGCCAAGCACCCCAATTAACCTCAGAGACATAAGAGATTTGATCTAAGGAGGAAGCACCCAAGTCAGTAAAGGAAGTACCATGAGTATCTGATAGATACCAAAGTGACAGTCCCACAGATGACTAAGGAATGAACTCAGCCAGCATAGCAAGATCTTATAGACACTAACCCTAACCCCTCACACACACACTGCTGCCACCACAAACCCTGACTATTAGCCCTTGGAGGTCTGGAATAGTTGGGCTGGATTTGACTCACTCTTGGCTCTTGCTTTGTGGGCCCAGGAAAGTTACGACTTCAGTCAGAGATGATTAGCTCAGGTCATTGAGGTAAGTGTCTCAAGACTAGTGAGCTGTCAAGGTAGGAAATCTTAAGAAGGAAGGAGAGAATCACCTGCCTGGAAATACCATGAACTCACAGTCCCCCCACCCTATTGGATCATGTCCTCCTATGATCTAGGAAATTCTGGCAGAACTGTCAGGTTTAGAGACTCTTATTTCTGCCAAGGATGTCTCAAGGATTTGGGCCTCCCAGTTGTTTAATGGGGGTGGCCCCCCAGTTGGGTATCTTGAATGATATGAGGGAACCACCGCCAGAAGACAGGGTCATACATTCCCAACACGTTGGTTTTAGTCTTGGCAGATGGAGAAGAATGCTCCTTATTTCTGCCTGAAGGTATAAGGAGAGGAGTAACTATCAAAGAGTTTAGCTGAGAGACCTAGACTAACAAGAGCCAGTAAGGATCCTGAAGATGAATGAGTCTCTTTCCCAAAACAGGGAGTCAATCAGAGTCCTACCCACCATCATCATGACTGGGAGTCCCAGAAAAGTGCATTCATATCTAGTGTCCTCTGAATTTTCCATCAAAGGAGGCATAGAGGATTGATGTTGGCAGTTTAAGTTCAAGAGGGAAATTTTCCAGGTGTGGATAATGGGGTTTTGTGGAGTTCCACAGAATCCAACTCCTTCGGGCTGTCCTGGGATACTCTGAAGTCTTGACCAGATATGGTTGATTTTGATTTCTATTTTGTGAGTTTTGGAACGGAGAGGACATCCGTCAGGTGTGGGGGTGGGGCATAACATTAAGTCAGTACAATTCTAGGGCTGCTCAGGTAACAAGGTAAGGATCCTGGATGTGGGCCAAAGAGGCCACATTGCCTTTGAGGAGGGGGACTGTACAAAGTTCTGCCCTGGCTTAACACTGGAAAACCAGAACAAAGCTGTTAAGCTTACACAACCGTAAAGGCATTCTGGAGGGGACAGCCTTGGTCTATGTGTGACAGTACCAGTTCTGCAGAGGGAAAAAACCTTGGCCCTACTCAGAGGGCTAAGGAGAACATGAATATTAACATGAGGCTTTACCTATCAAAAGAGAGGTCTAATCGGAATCCCTCCCTTCATGCCAGCCCTGGTTGTCAGATGCGGTAGGTACAAGCTGCCGCTCTAGTGATTCATAGATGCAGCAGCCTGAGTGACTGGATGGTGGTGACACTTCAGTGGAAGGCAAGGTTTCAGGGTCAGACTGACATGCATGGGGCCCCGTAGCTCCCTGCCCATGCCCCAAAGTCTTGCCCGGATGTAACTTGTTCTTTGCCTTCCATCTTGAAATCATCGGACAATGAGGAAGTAGGTCCAAGACGTGGGACCTCAAGTCAGTGACTGAGAAGGTTTCAGGACTTGTCAGGTGTCAAGGTAATGACTACGAATGTGGACCAAAGGGGTCACCCTCACATGGCCAATGGAATGGGTCCGGCTCGAACCACCATGTTGCGGTTGCTCGCTCTCTCCCCTCCCCCCTCGCACCTAACTGCCACCAGCATGGCTGCTGCTGCCGCTTTTATCATGAGATTATGGGGAAGCTATGGGTTTGACTTCTGGCTGCAGGAGCTCTAAAAGCAGAGAGCTTACTATAAAGGGTTAGCCCTGGTTCCGCAGCGGGAAAGAAACCTAACGCCCTGACAGGAGTTAAATATTAATGGGACTTCTCATAACAGGGAGCCACAGCCAGGCCTGGTGGCACATGTGTGACATCTCAGCACCCAGGAGACTGAGGGAGGAGGATATGGTGATCCCTCATTTCCTGAAGGAGAGGTGGTGTCTCAGAAAGATGGACTCATTGCACTAGTGGATAAGGCTGGGTTCACCAGAGGGAGGAGATTTAGTGCTTAAGAGGGGTCAAGATGAGAATGCTGTATGAGATGAGGAAACCCCTCCCTGCTAGAAGTAGCTATGAAAAGCCCACTTCTTCTGTTCTATCTGGGAGCTCCAGAAATGTTGACTTGGTGAGACACACTCAGTTCCTTTTGGGTATTTAAGGGAGGCAGAGAATTTTAGGTTCCAGGGCATCTGCTTCAGGTCAGCTGATGGACGTGAGAGGGTTGTGCGGACTCCGGTGGGCTGAAGGACAAGTCCTGTATACTCCTTGAGTGAGGACTACAAGGCCACCGACTTCAGGATGTGAAAAGACTCCAGGAGTCTAGATCTTGCTACCAACCCAAAGAAACCATGAGCAGAGACAGAGGCCGTTCTTGCTGTCTTCATCTTGTGTGTATTGGGGGAGGTTGTCAGGAAGTGGCAGATGTTCACCTGAAGGGAGAGGCCTTAGATGAGCAGAGGGCGTTTTGCAGGTGGAAGCCGGACCCTTAAAAGTGTGGGGACCTCCTGTCCCTTATTAGCAGAAGCGCTGCAAGATCCCTTCCTATTGTTGCCCTGGGAGGCCCTCCAGGCATAGATGTCAGGCCAAGGCTCCCTGAGTTCTTCTTCAGGGAAAATAGTGAAAGGAAGGTCTTGATCTGAGAAGAGTGGCCGCTGGGGGGGGGGGTGGGCTAGGTTACAGTTTAAGGCACACTGTCACTTCCTTCACAGGGTTCATAAAGCGGTGGCTAATCAAATCAAGAGCCTTGTGGCATCCTAGAGCAGGGCCCAGGAGAATGCCTGTACAGGGGCCTTTTTCATCTTACTCATACATGTTTGTCATACATAATAAATGCATTCATCATGAGGAGCTGGGACATGTATAGATCACATCTTAGTTCTTGTTACTGCCACTATCCCTCTCTCTCCATCGCTAGGTCTCCTTCCCAACTGCAAAAGGTACACCTCCCATAGGGACCTTCTTAAAGCAAGGGACTCACTCCTTGTCTTCCAACTCCAGGTATCCACTGCTGTCCCTGAGCACAGTCACCATGCCTCGTGGTCAAAAGAGTAAGCTCCGTGCCCGTGAGAAACGCCGCCAGGCCCGAGAGGAAGACCAAGTTATCCAAGGTGCTCAAAGCCCTGCAGCAGAAGAGAAAAAGTCATCCTCATCTTCTTCAGGTCCTCAGAGTGCTAAACCCAGCAGCACCCATGCTGCAGGTAGTCCCCAGGGACCAGCAAGCACCCAAGCCACCAGCTCTCCTGCTATAACTCAGAGCTTCGATAAAGGAGCCGAGTGCCCAGAGGAGCCAAGGCTAGTCTTCTCCAGGCTGTCTGTGCTGGAGCATGCCAGAAAAGATCCTCTGAATCGGGTGGTGAATGTGCTGGTGCATTTCCTACTGGGCAAGTACAAGACAAAAGAGGTCATTGTGAAGGCAGATCTGCTGAAGGTCATCGACAGAAAGTTTAGGAAGAACTTCCCCGAAATCCTCCGGAGAGCCACTGAGCGCATGGAGATGATCTTCGGTCTCGACCTGAAGACAATTGGCCCCACTGGTCAATACTATGTCCTCATCAGCAAACTGGCCCTTCCTGGCCAAGAAAATGTGAGTAAAGGCCAGGGTTTTCCCAAGAATGGGCTCCTGATGCCGCTCTTGGGTGTGATCTTCATGAATGGCAACTGTGCAGCTGAGCCAGATGTGTGGGAATTCCTGAGTATGCTGGGGGTATACGATGGCAAGGAGCACTTCATCTTCGGGGAGCCCAGGAAGTTCATCACCAAAGATCTAGTGCAAGAAGAGTACCTGGTGTACCGTCGGATGGCTGGTAGTGATCCTCCCTGCTATGAATTCCTGTGGGGCCCCAGAGCCTATGCTGAAACCAGCAAGATGCAAGTCCTAGAGTTTTTGGCCAAGCTCACTAATATGGTTCCCAGTAACTTCCAGTCCTACTACGAAGAAGCGCTGAAAGAACAAGAAGAGAGAGCCCAAGCCAGAATTGCACACAGAGCTGGCCGACTTCTTGCTGCTGAGGCCAGAGCCAGAGCCTTCTCCCAGTCTTAGTGTGCTCTGACCTAGTTCCCACTTCCAAATAGTGGAGAGCGAGGTGGGGCTTGGTAGACCACAGTGAATATTTTCTTTGTGTTTCTGTTATTCATAAACACTTGTAGTTTTATGTACTTTTTTCCATAGTGTTCTCTTTAAAGAGTTTATTTAAATTTAGGATCTAAGTTTGTAAAAGACATGGATCACCTATTTCTGTTTACTAAGTTTACTGTATTGTAAAACAAATTGAAAGACCTAACATCCTTTGTTGTTACCCAGTACAAGCAAACACAGCATTGGAAAAGAGATTTGCTTTTAAAATGTAGAACAGTCTCACAGCGAAATAGTTGGGATCAGAGCACGGCGAAGAAAAGTAAAAACGGGTAAACTTCTGGGTTTTTTCCTCATTTAGTGTTTTGATAAATTTAAAAGATATGTACCTGGATTTGTTTAGCTTATTTAAGAATGTAGAAGGAAATAAATCGTCATAAATGAGAATACGCATTCCCTGCCTCTTTTGTTCTCCAAAGCATCTATTCTCTGAAAGGATTTGTGCTGGTTGTAGGATGTGTAGACAAAGGAGAGGATCCAGAAATGGATAGAGAGGGGAGGGAGGTAAGGGAAAAGGGATGAAGAGAAAAAGGATCTAAGATGTATTATGTAGAGGCCGGGGATTTAGTTTAGCAGCATAAGCGCCTTCCTGGCAAGCTCAAGTTCATGAGTTCAATCCCCGATACCAACAACAACAACAAAAATGTATTATGTACATTTACCAGTTCTTCACCAGGAATGTACATGTTACATATTACAAACATGTAGTAGACCCTGCCCTGGCAATCCTTACCCATGCCCATGTTAGAGTTCCGGGTCAACTGAACATGGTGAGCGATGCAGTGAAACTGAAGGTCTGAAGGATGGGCAAAGGAAGGAGTGAAGAGGGAGGAGATTCCAGATAGGAGCAACCCAGTATGGATGGCCAGGACAAGACAAGTAGACAATGTGGGAAGCTACTTGCCCTCCAAGGGAGAGCTGAAGTAGGTTGGCAGTGGGGGTAGATGAGGCTGCCAGTGGGACTAGACTTTCCCAGACTGGGTCTTGGAGTAGAGAGAGCACAACTGCCACAGAAAACTGCTCATATCCTTAGGGTAAACCAGAGTGGAATCTGAGCTGGGATGGGCTGAGAAGGACCCCTGTGCTCCGTCCCCTTGTGGGTGAACGCAGTGCACTCAGCAGGTATTTTGTGCATTTTGTGTGAGGTTTCCTGAGGGCAAGGGTGACGCTTGGGTGGCATCTCAGCACTCAAGGTGTAGCTTGGGGGAACAGCATTGCTACAGGATCGAAAGGAACTCAAATTAGTTGTTTTTCTGAATAATGCGGCCAACTTTATGCAAGATCTCTATTTTTGTTGGTGGTGAAATCCATGAAACTAGAAATGGATTAAATGCAGGGGAGGCTAAGAGAGAGTGGGGTTTTTGGTCCTTTGCATGGATGGTAGGGGCTTTGTGATATGTGTAACTGGGGAGGTCCACTTCACACTCATCAGGCTGAGGCCACTGCAGCAGTGGGAAAAAGGTCCTGTCCCGCTCCTCCCTATTTTAGGAATGCTCCTCAGAACATCTGCAGATTACAAAGTACTCTTCAGGAGCTGTGGGGAGATCTAATGCTGCCACTATTTCTTACACAGGACCCAGCCTGGATGTCGAGCAAAATGGAGGAAAGGACAAGCACCCCACTGTACCCTGCCCACCAGTCAGTAATAATACATCCCATCAGTATTTACTGGAGTGAGGAAGTCCTTTTAAAGCAGCTGTACGGAGCCAGGTAAAGCAGACATGCTATGAGATATCTTCGCTTTTCCAATAAAGGACAGATTCATAGCACCACTTTTTCTTTTGGCAATATTGGAGATTGCAACCAGTGGTGGTGCTCTGGCAACAAGTTATATACCAGATCTTTTTCCCCCAGATTTTTTTTTTTTTTTTTTTGAGAAGGGCTTTCACTAAACTTTCCAGGCTGGCCTTAAATTTGTGTATCTCCTGCCTCAGCCTCTCGTAGCTGAGAGCACAGGCTTGTGTCACCATGCTCAGCTATGACATTTTAAATCAACTGAGGAGGCTATTATACCCACAAATACTCAAAATAGCAAAATAAAACTTGAGAACTTCCAGGTGTGGTGGTGTGCTCCTGTAATCCTAAACCCGGTCAACAGAAGGCCCAGGCAGGAGAATCACTATGACTTTGAAGCCAGTCTGGGCTATAGATAGTGAGTTCTAGACCAGGTTAAACTACATAGCAAGGATCTGTCTCAAAACCAAAAACTAAAGTAAAGCAACAATCACAGGAAAAATAAAAATAGAAAAACCTCTGAGAACCAAATTGGGAATGAGACAGTTTCCTTCAAAACAGAGACCCTGGAATATGTAGTGATAGCTCATTGAAGGTTTGGTTTGGTCTCACTTTTCCCGAATGATGCAGACAGCCTTTAGAGAGATACCTATTTAAAGTTTGCACTAATTTTTGTTAGGTTGGATTTTTTTCCTTATGGATTTTTATGTAAGTTGTTTATGTATTTTGGATATTATCTTCACAGAGTTAGCTAATATGTTTGGCAAATATTGTCTAACACTATATGGCTTAGCTTTTCATACTTTCTATGATTTTAAAGAGGTCCTTAGGATTCTTCTTAAATTTATTAGCACCTTCCTTGAAGTTTGGTGATTTTTTTTTCTGTCTTTTTCCTTTTTATCGGTACCGGGAATTGAACTCACGACTGCCTGCTTGCAAGGCAGGCGCTTATGCCACTGCGCTAAATCCCCAGCCCCTGTTTGGTGATTTTTATTTCTTGTTCTTAAAATGTTTCTCTACTTTGAAATAATAGTTTTCTTCTGTATACTTTCCCCATCACATCTGCTTGGTAGCTTGAAAATCTATCCTCCTCCAGGGACCTACTGGCTTTTTAGTTTTGTACTAATAATCCACATACATGAGCATGTCACAGAGCTCTGGGTATTATCTGTGTCTCCAGGCCAGCATCACATTGTCCGTGTCACTGTTTCTTTTCTGTGTGCTCTGCTGTCTGGCAATGCGAGGCCTTTCCTCCCTCTGCTTCTACAAGTTTTCTTCCTCCCCCTGGCCTTTGACACACTGAAAACCATTTCCAAAGTCGCTGGACTTTTTATTGCTACAAATTAAACTACAGATAAATTTGAAAAGACTTAAACCTTTACAATACTGAATTTTCCAGTCCATGACTTTGCTGAACCACTCTGATCTAAATCTTCTTTAATAATTTTCACTCAAGTTATATAATTCATTCTGCTTGTTAGATTGAATTTGTAGTGCAGAGGGTTTTGATGTTATTGTATGTGAGAATCCTGCCCTTCTTAATTTTTTAATTGATAAGAAGTATACTGTATATATATGAGAGAAGTATAAACATATATATTACATTTTATCAGTTAAAAATGGGGAGAAGACAGGAAAAGAATATACTAAGGTTAATCCATTAGAAAATGTATGTATGTATATATATATATATATTCAATTAATATTAAACTCTCCTATTGATATTCATACATACCTTACTGAGGTTGTCATAGTTTGTGTGGGTGGCCCCTAGGCCTCAAGCATTTGTATTATGCATTTGTGATTGGTTCATTGTCTAGAGCTTGGACTGATGATGTCAGTGCTGTATCCACATAGGGGTGGAGCCAGCATACAATGTAATGGCAGGAAGGAGGCGTGTCTCTCTCTCTCTTGCTGGTTTTCTGCCTTGCTGTTTGCAGCTGCCATGAACTGTGGCCTTGCGATGCCACCCTGCCTTGAAGCCAACTGAGTATGAACTGAAACCTCCAAAAGCTGTAAGAAATAAACCTTTCCACTCCCATCTTTGGGCATCAGATATTTTGTCTCAGCAATGAGTAAAAAGTAACTAAGACAGAGTCTTTTCTGCTAATGTAATCACATCCCCTGTGAATAATATTTTGTATTTTCCTTTTCAGTTCTTCTGTTTTATGTTTCTTTTGCTTTGCCTACTGTGCTAACCAGTTTTATTAGCACAGAGTTGCATGGAAAGAATGATTGAACCCCTCACTTTAGAGTTAAACTGTGAAGAAAACATCCAGATTGCCCCCATTCATGATGATGTTTGCTGTAGCTTTTTAAAAAATAAGGTCAAGAGGTATAAAATTAGTGACTTTTGACTTAGCAAAATAGCAATTTAGTACATTCTAACCTATTGATTATCTCATATTAAGGTAGTTTCCTCCCATTCTGATTTGTTTTTAATTTGGAATTTTTAAAATTATGAATCATGCTGATTATTTAAAATGTTTTTTCTGTGTCTATTGAGTTGCTATATAAAGTATTTTAAGGCTTGGGAGTAGATTACAATGATTGATTTCTAAATACTAAGAGTCAGTGTTGTATTTCTGAATGAAAATTAATATTTCCTGTTTAGTACTTTGTATCTATGCTGTAGAATGAAATAATCCCGCGACTTTACTGTCTTATGGTCTATTTTTATATGTTGGCTATGCGCATGTGCCCTCTCTTTGTCATTTCTAAATCTGATCATTATATATTTTTTTGGTTTTTGTTTTTTGCTTGGTTTTATTTTGTTGAGAAAGTGCTTGCCTTTCTCTGGCCCACTGCAGTAAATTTCTTAAGGTAAATTTTCCAGTTTATTAGTTTTGCCTCCAAATAGGTACAATTTCTGTGAGATGTTTCTTTCTTTCTAAATTTAAGAGCCTTTATTTTTTATTTAAAGAAAAAAAAAACAAAACAGTATAAGGGTATAAGTAATACATAATTATTAAAAATGGTAAGAAATCACTAGTTAATAGATTACATACTGTCATCTTAGAAATAGTAGTTAAAGTTACAGGATTAAAGCATACAAAGTGGACATTCAAACAATGAGACTGCAAACAGTTGTGTTCAACGATCCAACAAAAACTTAGTAATATGGTCATCTATCTTACACTCCTAAACACACTTACAGTTGTGTCATTTAGAGCACTTTATTTTCCTCTCTTTTTTGCAATAACATTTATACATTTTGGGTTTTATTGCACCCACAGTTCTTATTACTTTTTTGGGGAAGAGAATAACATCTAAACGTGACAAAACAAAGCAGCCAATCAAAACAAAGGATGGACATAGCACATGATGTAAAAACAGAATACAAGGTAATCAACAGTGGTTACCATAATGCCTCTTGCTACCTTAAAAAGAATTGCTATATCATCAGGTATAATAAAATTGAACAAAACAGTATAGAACAAAACCAATAAAACCTAAACATTGTAAACATTACAGGACTTCAAAAGAAGATAATAGTCAAACCAGAATGGGCATCATAGTGAATCTTATTGCCTTCAAAGTAGTTGCCTATACCCTCAAACTTGATACTATCAAACAGAATGGAACAGAGTCGAATGAGTCAAAACAAAATAATGGGAGTAATACAGGGCTTCAA